CAGGGCTACCTTCCTGGCATTGAAGATGGTGATGGCGCCAGCAGGGGGAGGTCACAGAGCAGGTCCTCCTGGAGCTGGAGATGGCGGCAGCAGCGCCTGCAGGGGAGGGTGTGGCTGGGCAGGCCTTCCTGGCACTGGAGATGGCAGCAGTGGTGCCGGCAGGGGAGGGTGCGCTGGGCAGTCCCTCCTGGTGCTGAAGATCTAATTTATCTTTATAGTTAATTTCATAAGCCTTTTTGGTACTAGGAATATTAACACAGCTTTTGTATGTGTGCCATAAACACTTTTTCCTTATCTATTCTTTATCTTTTGACAAGTAGAATTTTTACTTTTGGGGAGTAAAATTGATGAGAGATCTTCTCAAGCCTAAAGCACGTAAATACTTTCTCCATGCTACGTTTTAACTTTTCCAGTGCTTATAGCTTTATTTCTTTTTCAATGAGACTTTAACTTCATACAGTGTAAGGATCTAATTTTATTTGCTCTTCAAAGGATAGTCCATCATCCTGATGCCATTTAATATGAATTCTAATTTTCACCCACTGAATTTAAATGCGTTTTTATCATATTTTAATTTTTTGTGTCATTTTCATCTGCTCTGAATTCTCAGTATTGTTCCACCGATTTGTCTATTTGTACTTAAGAATAGTATTTTGCTTAAGTACTATTGTAATAAGCTTTAATATCTCATAGAGCAGCTGTCATGCTTATATTTGTTTTTCTAAATTTCTTGGTGATGCTCACATAAATTTAAAATTGTTCATAAAATTTAAAATTGTTTTAGCTCTAAAAAATAAAAATAAATTATTAGGGCCCCATTAAAGTATTTTTTTCTTATTTGGGAAGGATTAGCATGATTTGGCCTTTACATCTTCCTATTCAGAAATAATACTCCGTTCTATAATGTATTCAGACATTATTTAATATCATCAATAAAATTTTATACCTTAGTTTATGTAATCATTTTATCTTTCTTATCAGAGTTTAGGCGATCTATTTATTTATTTATTTTTGGTACTGGTGATCAAACTCTGGCCCTTGCACTTGCCAGGCAGGCACCTGAACCATTGAACTAAATCCCCAGCCCAAGGTGTTTTATTGTTTTTGAAATTATTGTGCACAGGTTAATTTTCTATCTGTACTTTGAACTAGTTATCGATAAAGTGAAATTTTAGGTTTCCCCCATTTATTTTGCATCTGGCTATATTCCTAACTTCTGATTCATCTATAACATTTATTAGATATACAGTATCACTTGGAAATAATTTCCTCCCCCAGTATTTATATACCTAATTTTCCTTTACTGGAAAATATACCTTCGAATCCTTGTGGAATCACAGTGTTGGTCTGGGTAGATTAAATTGGCATTTGATCACTTGCAATTGAACATGTCTTGATAAATGCATATGTAATGAGTAATTTCTGGTGAGACATTTCATGCCTAATCTCTACAGTATTTCATTAGGATTAGACTTACATGTTTGTTTGTTTGTTTGTTTGTTTTTTTCCTGTTGTCCTGGTTTTTTCCATAGCAGCTCTTGTTCATTTTTCTTGTTGGTCATGTACTGGCATGTGTCGGGTGAAGGAGTGATTTTCCAAACTTGATGGGCAAGTGAAATACTACTCTTTTTTTTTTTTTTTTTAAGCCTGGGAGACTGTTTTTAGCCATGTGAAAACTAGGCCTGAATTTCTGCTCTTGGGAAGACCAGGCAAGGAGATGCAAGATGCAGGACTGTGGGAAGTGGAGCCTGTCCAGAAGAGCTTTTCTCCCCTTTGTCCTCTGTCAAGTCAGCACCAAGTGCACCGGGGCCACACCTGTGACCTTGCCCTCTTCCCAGGGGTGGGAACCTGCACTTTGCTGCACCCACAACGATTTCAGAGTGGCTGATAGCAACACCCAGAGGGTGTGGAGATGTAGAAGTTATACATGATTTCATAGTACCCATCATGTTGAGATAAGTACAGATATGAAATGTACTGAACCATATGGTGTTTTATATTTGTATGTCTATAAATATTTATGCTTTTATGTATCTATTAAAGGATATATGTAGGAAAGATCTTACAAATGTGGAAAGTTAAATATTTATAAATATGAGTATGAAGCAAGCAAAATTAGCAAACTAGAATTGAGATCATAAAGAGCACCCTTTGACAAAGAACTTGGATATAGCCCAGGTACAAAAGCAGATTTTCATCAAAATAGCCATGGATGGAGTAGATTTTCCCAACCTTATTTCGGAGGGACAGGGCTCCCTCAGAAGTCCGTTTAACTTTTGTATTTCTGAAGAGCAGACTCAACAGAATCTGAATTTCTTGTTCCTGATGAGAAAGAAACATTGCTTGATAATAGAGTTTGTGTTTGTGGGTGTGTATTTATGTGCATGTACTTGCATGTGTCTTTGTCTTAGACCTTACATAATGGATTTTCCGGAACGTCTCCCATAGCAAAATCTTGTTTATCCGCACTAGTTATATCCATGAGTATAATTAAATACTTTAATAGCGGTGGTAGATCATCATTCCAAACATTTAATTAGATCTAAAATGGGGAAAAAAACACTCCCAGTCCTTTTCAGTTTGTGGTACATTTCAGTAGGTTTGATGGCTGGGTCCAGCAGGGAGGGATTCATGTTCAGCCTGGGAAGTTCTGGGCAGGCATAGCTGTGGAGTGGTGGGGCTGGGATGCAATTCCCCAGCAACAGAAGACCTCAGGTTTCCCTGCCCTGATATTGGCATCCATGTGCCTCATCTCCACACATGGCTGCCTTCCTGTGTAGACAGCAGGTTTTTTGGGAACTGTCCCCCTTCTGGCCTTTCCTAAATATCTCATGCAGTAAAATTTGCCTAGGTTGGGTTTGAATTGCATCCCATGGTCTTAATCCTTCAGAAGACGTGAATTGCTTTTGGTGGCTTTGGTGGTATTTCACAGTGACATGCACATGGCCCTTTTTTCATTATTTAATATTTCATTATTAATATTGCCAGCCTTGATGTGCCCGGTGGAGTGCTGGGGAGGTAGCCCTAATCCAGTAGACATAGCTTTGCCTGCTAGAAGCTGGCTGTACAATGGAGAGGCAGACTTCCTTCAGTGACAAATTTGGAAACTAACTCTGCAAGGAGAGGAGAGATGCCATGGGAACTGATCACAGGGTGCCTCACAGCACAAGGAGGACCTGGAAGAGCAATGTGCTAAGCAGAGACAATGGCAGGTGCAGCACAAAGCTGAGCATCACAGGTGAGTGGAAGTTCTGGTTTATTAGTTCCTTAGTGGCCTGTGCCTTTCTTTCCTGTTTCTGGGCTCTTGGCGACCACTGACCACCTTGCTGTTTAAGTCCCCAGGAAGTCATAGATTCACCCCATGCAGCAGATATCACTGGAGATGACTGCATTGCCTGGTCATTCACATGTGATTCATGTGCCTTTCTTGGACCTGTCCCAAGGCCTGAGACCAGAGCATTCTGCTTCTGCCCTGTTCCCAGCCTGTCACAGTGTTGCTTGTTGCTCTTGTATCCCAAATCTCATATGCTGTCTGTGAAACCCAGCGAATTCAGCTCTAGTAGATTGTCAGGCAGGGTTATAACTGTTTATTAAAATTTTAGTTAATTTGATTTTGCCATTCTGTTATTCTAGATTCAGCACATTTATTTTTTCAAGTCTCAAATGTTTTGTAGGTCCTTTGAAATCCTACTTAAGAGTTGTGGGTTTAAGGACCTGGAAAAGGAAGGACCTAAGAATTGAACTCCTCTGTAGGGAACCTTTCCAGCTACCCCTCTGCTTCTTGCATGGATTTGCCCCCATGCATTCCTTTGATCTCCTCTCTACCCAAAATGCCAGGCATCTTCCACAGAAATTTGTTTCAGTCCATGATCTACCTCCTTTACTCCTGTGGTATATGGCCCAAGCCTGAATTATGGTTTGCGGTGATCCTTGAGAAAGGGTTGGCCTTTGTCAGAACACTCTGATGAACTGTGATGCTGGAGGACACCTTGAGGCCCATAGCACCATCCATAACAGCACTGGGCCTTCAGAACAATTCCCTTTAGGGACCATTCTTGTGAGAACAGCTGTACCAGATTCCTCGTTCTAGTATCCAGTGTGGAAATACACACACACACACACACACACACACTATTCTTAGCACTAGTGTAGTTAACCCTCCTAAGGAAAAAGAAATGCTTCCTAACACCTAATGGTATCTTAATTTGCAAGGCACCATACCAGTGATTATGCAAAGTGATGTCAGTTCCTTTCCTTCATCTCCTGCCTCAATCCTGTGTACCTTTGTGCTTGCTGGGAATAAGAACAGGATGCACAGATAGGACAGATGATTTTTAAAGAAGAACTTTGCCAGGAAGGGCCTGGCAGCAGAACAGCGTGTGTGTGTGTGTGGCGGGGGTCGGTATGAAGAACCTGAGGCTCCCCTGGCTTCTCCTACCTCTACTGCTTGCTTAAGCATTCTCTGCCCTGATATCTAATTGTTTTTGGAAGACTTCCTGCCCTCAAAGGGTGGGCCTGGACATCATTTCCTTTGCAACCTTCTGGTGTCACTATGCTGTCCTGATAGAGCCAAAGCAGGATGCTGGCATCTTCCTGCCTCTAATCATTCTGAGTAGGAAACCCTGCAGTCCATCACACTAGAGGATCCTGAGAAGCAGCCTCCAGCTTGGACTGACCTGACTCTGCATGCCTTGAGCCATGAATTTGCATCTCACTTGTGCTTCTGGGGCTAGCTCTGCAGTTTGGATGGCCCTTTCCAGCCTGTTTGTCAGGATTTTTTTCCTTTCTCCTGCCCCAGCCTTCAGCTAGTACCAAGGCATGGGTCAGGGCGTGACTTGTGCATGACTGGCTCTGCCAAGTTTGTTCCAGTAATTCTAGGAACCACCTCCCACAGGAACAGCCAAGTTTCCACATCCCCCATCCTCTGGGCCCTCCCACTGCATTGTGCTGAAAGTAGAACAAACATGACCCTCCCTCCTTGTGTCCGTTGAGAAACTGAAAGCTTAGGAAATCAGTTCCTACCTAGCTGTGGGTGGCTGGACTGGAAGCAGACCTAGGCTTTTTGACTTCACTTGCTGCCTAGATTCTCCTTGCTCAAGCCCTGACTTCCTAAAGGCAAGTAATAGATTGTGTCCTGACATACAATAAGGAATGTATACTTCGGGTTTTGTCTCCCCTTTTTCCTGGCTGGAGTTCTGCAAACTCTTGTAATTTCCCAAATGATGTAGAGATAAAGGAAAACTGAGCTGCTATTTATAAGAAGCTACTTTAACCCCCTCTAGAAATGTTTGGAATCCTGTAAGGACAAAGGCTGGCTGCCAGGGGAACCAACCGGGGGATTAGAGGGAGGGGAGGGGAAGGGGCTGACAGTTGAGTTGCTCATTGATGGCTGATGATTTAATCAATACCCCCTACCTATTCCATAACCCCCTGCAAAGGACAGGCTGGAGAGAGCTTTGGGTTTCTGACAGTGTGAAGACGGGGTGCTCCAGGAGTGTGTGTGAGTCTGGGCCCCTTCACACATACCTTCCCCTTTGTCCTTCCTTAATTGGCTGTTCATCTATAGTCTTTACTGTAATGTCCTTTGTAGTGAATGAGTAGACAAGAAAGCTCTGTTGTTCTTGGTTCTCTGAGCCCTTTTAGTAAAGGACTGAACACAAAAAGTGGTGTGGAAAAAACCTCCGGTTTGTAGCCAGGTCATACAGTGTAAGACTTAAAGTCTCACTTACACTCCAAGGAGCATGAACAGCCAAAAAGGCCTTCATGATGCTGAGTCTTATAGCTCAGCAAGGCTCCGGGAGCTTGACGGAGGAACGAGTCACCCAGGAAGGAACACACCAGGCTAGATGGTAAACAGACCTTTATTAGTCTGGCCAGATGGCACTCTTGGAACCAAGTAGCTTGCTCAGAGAGGTGCCAGCTCAGGGGCTGAGGTCTTTTTTATAGGGGAGTAAAAAGGTGGGGGTTAACATTCTAAGCTTGCAGGCAGCGGACAAAGGTTACTGGTCTGCTGATTTGAGCTGGTGGTCAGCAGTCACATACTTGGCAGTCACACATCGATGATTAACAGATACCTATAGGATGTTTCAAAGGCCACCAAGACATTAGGGATGAGCAAACAGTTCAATAATTAACTTGGAGTCTCTACATACAGTATAGATTTGATCTCATAGTCTAGAACCACTAACTTACATGTTAATCATGATCTGGACTTCAAAAAGTACAAGATTGCCTCACATTCCTAAGCCAGGGTTTGAACAAAGGTTGGGGCTATGGCTGCAATGGGAGGGGGTTAAAGCACTGTCTCCTAGGCCCTTTGTCATTTAGCATGGGCTTGTAATTCAGGTTTTACACAGAAGCTGTTTTTGGTAGGGGCAGTCTGCTAGGACTCAGTCCTTATGCTGTGAGGTCTGTGCTAGCTTGGTTGGTGTCAGAACTGAACTGAGTTGTATACATCCGGCTGGCCCTGGAGAGTTGTTCATTGTGGAAGAAAACCCCCATGCATCTGGTCACACCAGTGTTTTATGTTAAGTGAGAGTGTGTGAGGAAAATTTTTTTTTTCCCTAGTACACACAGTAGAGGGTCTATGACCAGCCTCTCAAGGTGAACACAGTTTTTTACATGTTCTTATTTTATCCTCATTACTTGAATGAAAAATGAAAAAGTATGAAAATAAAATAGACAAACCAAAAATGAATTTATCCATTCAATAGTTACTGAGCATCTGCTGTATGCCTGGATACTAGGAATATAGCAGAGGACCAAGCAAACACCCTGCCCTTAAGAAACCTCCATTGGTTGGGGAAACACACAATAAGTAAAAAAAAAAATTAAGTTGTGAAGAAAGAGGAGGGAAGGGGCTCCAGAGTGATGGGCTGAGGTGTTGGAGGGGAGGTCAGACACAGATCAAACCTGGAGTGAAGGGAGTAGCCAGGCCATGTAGACCTGTGGGCTTTAGTAGATATCCTGGTCATCATCATCTAGAGCAGAGCTGGCAAATCATAGCCCACAGCCACAATGGTTGCTGGGTGTTCTTTACGATAGTTACTCTCTCATTGTGGTGGCAGAGCTGTGTCACTACCAAAGAGATCCAGGGCCTGTAAAACCAAACTATGTACTCTTGGGACCTTTGCAGAAAATGTCTGCTAATGTTTTCCTAATCTAGAATTGAAGGTCTCAAAATGGGTTCTAGGAATCCTGGGAACCTGTGGATCTCTTTCTGCATGTGTATGAGGCTGAACTATTACCAGTAGTATAATACAGCAGTACCAAGACATTATTTGCTCCTTCCTTGCTCATCTTCTCCCAAAGGTACTGTAGAGTTTTCCAGAAGTACAAGTTGAGTTTATATGTATTGCGACAGATCACATAAAGATCAAAATAAATGACAGATAATAGGAAGTAGTGAGATAGATCTTTCTCAAAGGGGAAAAGGATCAAGGAATGGAGGAAAGGGAGAGAGAAGGGAAAGTGAATAAAAAAAGGAATTAAGATGTGTTATGTACACATGCCAACTCCATATATATTATAATATAATATGTACTCAAATGTGGACTAATAAAAAAACTTTAAAAGAGAGAAATAGAAGAGTCCACTGCCATCTATGAGGCCAGACATCACAAGAACTTGTAAATATGTAAAATAATGTTACTCTTTGCACTAGTTTCTATTTGGGGAAAATAGTTATTTTTCACATGTAAAAGTGATTTGTGTTGACTTATAATGGGTATATTATTGCTTAACATATTATTGAGGAAGTCTTTTTATAAATGTTTCAGCATTGATTTCTGAAATAGTTGACTTGGGTAGTAGGTATAACCCACTTAAACAAAAGCCTTTTTGGGTTCCTGTACTATTGCAGGAGTGTATTAAATAAGGTATAGGAGGACATTTGGGATTTTGAATCCTACAGGAGGAATAGACAGAGGCATGCAGCTGAAGTTCCACACCACCTCCCTGGAAGGCAGGAAAGGAACTGATAACATGCAGCTCCCAGCTTGAGCTAATTTTAGCTGACACAGTAGGGGCACTTCCTCTGTGATCTATTTTTTATAAGTAAAGTGAAATTGGAGACTTCTGGGAAGATGAGAGTCATGAACAGCAAAGAAACAGCATTTCTGAGATTTGGTGTTCAGATGCTGGAATGTAGCAATAGGAGGAAGAGAAGAAGGAGGGAAGTGGGTCCCCAGGACTCATCAAGGATCTAAAGTGAGAATTGAAGCCCACAGGGAGAATGAAGAGAGAGACTTCAATGTAGAAGAGAAGGTGGCAAGTGGCATCGAACAAATTGGGTTCCAGCTTCACAGCCAGAAACCAATCTGAACTTCAGCAAAACTAAATGTGCAGGCCTGCTGGGGTTATCCATTAGCCCACCATAAATCTATGGCTGGCTTGTTGAGATTAATCAACATGGATCTGGGCTCTGTCTGCCCACTCTATCTGCCAGTTACACAGAGACACATCCTGATGTGGACATAATTTTTCTCCTTTTCTTCTTTTTTTTTCTATCAATTTTTGCTTTTGTTTTATTCTTGATTGTTATTGTTTTTGTATGTGTGAGCATTGTTTCTAGTTTTCCTGTTGTTCTGTTCTGTTCTTTTTTCTTCCTTCTCTTTTTCCCTCCTGTCTTTCTTACGTTTCCCAAAGCTCACATAATCTTCCTTTGTCCTCAAACCTTGTTTCTAATCTCTTTCTCTTCTATTTTTCTATATTTTCCCCTAATTCCTTAAAATTTTTCTCCTCTGAGGGTAAAATCTCCATACTGAGAGAATTTTTTTTTTGAGACAGAGTCTCACTATGTAGTTGAGACTGACCTAGAACTCACTATGTAGCCCAGGCTGGTCTCAACCTCACAGTGATCCTCCTGCTTCAGCCTCCTGAGTGCTGGGATTACAGGTGTGTACCACCATGCCTGACTTTAGAGAATATTAACTGTATACAATTTTGTGGTTTGTTTTAGATTTTGTTACATAACCACAAATATAGTTCATATGATCATATGATTAAAGGTGGCAAATTCATACACCAAATAACAGGGCACCTAACTAATAAACATTGTCATGAAAAATCAAATAAGCACTAATACAATTGCAGTGGGTAACCTTAATACTTCATTATCACAAATAGGTAGGTCAACTAGACAAAAAATCAACAAAGAAATATCAGAACTGAAACAAACTTTTGAATAAATAGACTTAGTAGATGTCTATGTGATGTTCCATCCTACAATATCAGGCTACACATTCTTCTCAGTTGCACACAGACATTCTTCAAAATAGATCACATAGTCACTCATAGAACATGCTTAAGTAAATGTAGAGGAATTGAAATTATCCCAATGGATATTAACAGACCATAATGCAATGAAACTGGAAGTCAATGGCAAAAGAAACCACAAAAACTTCATAAACAACAGAAATTGAATTACAGTCTCCTGAACAACAAATGGGTTACAGATAAAAATTAAAGAAAAATTAGATAGTTTCTACAGACAATGATAATGCCAATGAAACAGTAGAATGTATGGGACACAAAGCAGTTCTGCAAGAGAAATTTATAGTGGTGAATTCTCATATCAGAAAAACAGAGTGAGAACAAATAAGCAACCTGATGTGGAAGCTCAAGCTTCTAGAAAAAGAAGAGAAAGTGAAGCCTAAAGCTCATATGAAGTAGGACATTATAAAGATCAGAGCAGAAGATAATGCAACAGAGACTAAGAAAATGATGCAAAAAAATGATTTGAAGAGTTGGTTCTTTGAAAGATTAAATTGACAAATTCTTATTCAACCTTATCAAAAAAGGAAAGAAAAGTCTCAAATCCATGCAGTTAAGAATGAAAAGAGTGAAATCACAAGAGATCCTGCAGAAATCCAGAAAATCATCAATACCTACTCCAAAAGCCTGTACTCTAATAAGATGGAAAACACAGAAGAAATGGGGACAGATTCCCAGAGACATATGAGCTACCAAAGCTGAATCAAGAAGATTCTAAATAAACCAGTATCAGTCAATGAAATTGAAGAAGTAATTAAAAACCTACCAACAAAGAAGTACAGACCCTGATAGATTCACTGCTGAATTCTACAAGACATTTGGAGAAGGCCTAATGCTGCTACTTCTCAGATTCTTTAATGAAACTAAAAGGGAAGCAGTACTCCCAAAATCATTCCTGGAAGCAAGCATTATTCTGATTATAAAACCAGAAAAGGATCCAACCAAGAAAGAAAACTACAGGCCAGTCTCCCTAATGAACATAAATGCAGAAATCCTCTATAAGATACTGGCAAATAGAATGCAGCAAATCATCGAGAAGATTGTACATCATGAACAAGTAGGATTTATCCCAGGGATGCAGGGATGCATATGCAAATCAATAAATGTAATACACCACATTAACCAAACCAAGGACAAAAAACACACGATCATCTCAATAGAGGCAGAACAAACATTTGACAAAGTCCATCATTCATTCATAACAAAAACCCTACAGAAAATTGGCATAGATGGATGGCCTTTATCTCAATCTGATAAAAGCCATCTGTGACAGACCAACAACCTACTCATACTAAATGGACAAAAACTGAAAGCTTTTGCTCTCAAATCAGGAACAAGAACTGAACTCAGGGCCTTTAAGCTGTGCTATACTCCCAGCACTTTTTGCACCTTTTATTTTGAGACAGGCTTTTACTAAATCTCTAAATTGCCCAAGGAGGGATCAAAGTTGTGATTCTCCTGACTCAGTCTCTCAGAGAGCTGGGATTACAGGTATGCATCACCATGCCTTGTTTGCATTCATTTTGTTTTATGGAACAAGATGCTACCCAATTCTAGAATCACATGTGAAAGCCAACTGAGAGCTTCAAAGTAAATTTGCTGTAATTTTTTTGCCCTTTGACAAGTGTAAAGAGATCCTTGGACCATAAAGTTTGAGAACAGCTGATCTAGAAAAAGCCCATTTTATTTTTCCTTTGGAAGCTGCAGTAGTTACAAGAAATGTGCTTCCTGTGATCAGGGGCTCAGTTTCTCAGGCGTGAAAGGTCAGCCCAGCATGCTGGGGTTTGGGGGAGATGGTAAATGGATGCTAAGGGTTGAACTGTGTCTCTTGCTCCCACAAAAATGTCACCTTACTTGGGCATGGTGTCTTCACAAGTGTAGCTAGTTAAAACGAGGTGGGGCTGGAGATTTAGCTCAGTGGTGCCTGCCTCGCAAGTACAAGGACCTGAGTTTGATCCCTGGTACCAAAAAAACCCAAAGAACAAGAACAACAAAACCAAAAACAAACAAACCCCAAAACAAAAAACAAGGTGCATAGTCTGGATCCTAACCCAGTTGGACTGATGTCTTCACAAAAATAGGGAAATTTGGACCCAGAGACACATACACACAGCCAGAACCATCTGAAGACAAGGGCAGAGACTGACTGGGATGGGGCTTCCACAAGTCAAAGTATACCGGAAATTGGCAGTTTCTACCGGCAGCAGATTCTCCTTGGCTTACAAGGATCCACATCCGAGCCTCAGGCCTCAGGCCTCTAGGGCCATGAAACAATACTTTGGATTTTCTGGACCCCACAGTCTGTTCAGTGCTGCCTCAGCCACCTTTTTAATTGCTTCAACATCTAGCTGGCCAAATCTAGATGTCCAAGTATGGTGTCACTTTGCTGCCTTACTACTGCTTATATTTCTTTATTTTCTTCCTGCTTTTAATTTGCTTTTCCTCCTTTTGGACTTCACTTGCCCACAGGGCAGGGTTAGATACTTGGTTGATTGACTTTTTTCAGAAGTTGCTGTTTGGTCCCCAGAATGCCCCTCAGTTCATAACGCATGGAGCTCAGCTGCTTGGTCAGAGTGAGGGAACGGTGCCCTCTGCTCTACTGCTGGTGAGACCCTTAGCTTAGATAATTCTTGCATGAGCCCCGGGGGAGGGAGTGATGCAACCTTCATATAGTAGATGTGGCATTTGGGATGCAGAGGAATGTGAGACTGAAAGCTGTGACCAGAGAGCATCTACCCTTAGGGCTAGATTGAGCTGTGGGTAACTAGGTCCCCAGACAACAGAGGCTTAACCGAGGTCAGCAAGGGAGGGAAAGTCACTGCGAACTACACCAGGGCTCTCTGGCTTCTTGCAGTGAATCTTTTCATCTAACCAGTATGTGGGGGCCAGAATTTTGACATGGTGATGCTATTAGGTTGTTTTGGGCTTTGAATCTGTCATCTGTGAAATCAGTGCTTTCGTTTTATTCTGAGCAGAGTTAGCAGGAAAGCAGTACAGCACTGGTATCTATTATTTCTTGGACATGAGGAGGCATCCAGGTCAGGAGGGAAGGATGCTGGACCCTCCCAGAGCTCTCTCCAAGTTGCCTGCAAAGCGTGGCAATGCCTCTTTGGGGAGGGGAAACAGACTGGCAGAGATGAAGAGAAAAAAAATCTTAGGATCTCAAGGGGTGGCTGATACAGGCTTGGTTGATTTCTTTAGCTGTGTGCTTAAATCTGGTTGAATATTAATGTAGATTCCTTCATATCAAAGGGCAAGATCTAGAGCAAAGGAGAGGTGGGCAAAGTCTGAAAATTTTATTGGTTGGTTTAGGAAAGAACGCCAGGGCCCTGTGTTTTAGGATGCAAAGAATTCATTACTGTTGCTTTAACTCCTTCCAGGATGGCGGGCCCTCTTCCTGCGTTTCCGAGAGTTTCTGCAGGGCTTTTCTTCTTGGCGCTTTGGGGCCTGGTTGTAGGGGACAAGCTGCTGGTAGTGCCCTTGGATGGAAGCCACTGGCTTAGTATGAAGGATATACTTGAGCGTCTCGGTGACAGGGGGCATGAAATCGTGGTGCTGGTGCCAGAAATCAATTTGCTTTTGAAAGAATCTAAGCACTACACAAGAAAAATCTACCCAGTGAACTACAGCCGCGAGGAGCTGGAAGAGCGTTTCCGTTCCTTCGGGAACCATCACTTCATGGACAGACCGTATGTGACCGCTGCTCTCACGGAGTACAGGAACACCATGATCGTGATTGACATGTGGTTCTTCAACTGCCAGAGCCTCTTGAAGGACTCAGACACCCTGAACTTCCTCAGGGAGAGCAAGTTTGATGCTCTGTTCACAGACCCAGGGCTCCCCTGCGGTGTGATTCTGGCTGAGTACCTGCAGCTGCCCTCCGTGTACCTCTTCCGAGGCTTCCCCTGCTCCCTGGAGCATGTGTTCAGCAATAGCCCAAACCCTCCATCCTACATCCCCAGATGCTACACAGAGTTCTCTGACCACATGACTTTTCCCCAGCGGGTGGTCAACTTCCTGGTTAGTTTCTTGGAGAACCTGATATTTCACTGTCTCTATTCGAGGTATGAAGACCTGGCCTTAGATCTCCTCAAGAGAGATGTGCGTTTACCCTCCTTATTTCAGAAGGACCCTGTGTGGCTGTTAAGATATGACTTTGTGTTGGAGTACCCCAGGCCAGTCCTGCCCAACATGGTCTTCATTGGAGGGACTAATTGCAAGAAGATAGGAGCCTTGTCTCAGGTTGGTGGGGTCACATCTCTCGATCGCCCCATGTCTTCCTGGGCAGATGCTCTTCTTATAGGCTGTCTCCTTGGCTCATTCAGCTCCTGAACCTGGCTCTTACCTGAGAGGTTACCTGAAGGCAGAGTCGGGGGATGGGTGCCAGGCTGGGAGGAGCAGGGCCTGCAGACCTGAGGCTGAGGTAACAACAAGACATTTGAACAAAGACCGGGCTTGTGCTTGGCTACATGCTTGGCTGGGTACTCTGGGGAGTGCCAGTGAACCATCGGATGGGGCCTGGTCATATTGCAGTGCAAGAAGAGGTGAAGGCTCAACCCAGCCAACTTCCTCTCTCCCCGCCTCTGCCTCACAGTTTGTCCTGGGCCCTAAACCAGAGGCCAGGTGCAGCCAGTGGGCCACATCTGCCCTGGCGCCAGTTTTTACTTGGCTCAGAGATAAGCATAGCCTTTACAGTTTAATAGGGATGTTAACAACACAGGGAATGTGTAACAGGGACACAGGGGGCCCACAGAAGTTATGTATTTACTCTCTGGCCCACTCAGGGGAGATGTGTTAACCTAAGGCAAGCTAGCCTCCCTTCCTCCTCTCCTCCCTTTCTCCCTCCTTCCCTCCTTCATGCCTTCCTTCCTCCTTTCCTCCCTTCCTCCTCTCTTCCCTTCATTCCCTCCTTTTCCTTTCTCACGCTTTTTCTTTTCTGTGGTACCAGGGATTGAACCCAAGGCCTTCACGCTGAGCTGTATCCCCACCCCACTTCCCTGCATAGGAGACGAAGTGTTGCTAAGTAGCCTAAGCTGGGCTCAGACTTGCAATCCTCCTGCCTCATTTCCAGAGTGCTGGGATTACAAGTGTGTGACACGGAGGCAAGTGTTTCTATGTGCTTTCTTGGGGCAGGACCCAGAGTTGTTTGAATCTAATGATCCAGAAGTTATTTTTAAATTTGTTTTTATTGGATACATAAAAACAAAATTGTACATTTGAATGTAGTGTTTGAAGCAGGTGTCGTTTCTTAAGGTTTAAATCAGTATAAACATATTTATCTCCTCAAACTTTTATCAGGTGGGTGTGGTAAAAATACTTGAGATTTGTTTTCCCTCGATTCTAATATTTAAACCTTTCAAAGACTTTAGGCAATTTCTCTGTTTCATACCAGAATTTCTCTTTTGGATCAATTTTCCATGGAAAGAAAGCCTCAGACAGGTCCCTGGACCCCTTGCTATGCTTCTTTAGCTTGTGCTGAGTTTACCTGTTAATGTATCTGGCAGTAGCTACTGTGAAACTGGGGGGCTTGGAGGAGCATAATCGAACCAGTTCCAGGAAGTTGGGGGCCTGAAATAGAGCTCTGAATGTCAGGAAAAGTTAATTAAGAAGCTGATAATATGTAAAGATCATTTGCTTGTTTAACATTTATTTTTACTCTTTGAAAATTTTTTTCTTATACCCCATGTTTCTTTGGAATAAGGAAAAAAAGTAATTTTGGTATACTGGTACTGACCATCCCATTTTGAAAAAAAAAAAAAAAGAGTTCTTTGTCATCATATTGAAAAATCAGAATCTAATATGTGTGACTCTATCTCTGAGCACCACTAATCCGTGTCTGTGGCTTGTCCTTATCACAACAGCAATCTTCCTCTTAGTCACTAGGGATTAAGCAAAGTGACCAGAATCATGTTTTTTGTTGTTGTTTTGTCAAATAATCAAAATAATTGAACACTATGAAAAAAAAACATGTTTTCAAAGTGATTGCAATGTCTTGGAACACTATAAAAGTGGTGATTGTACACCTCTGTAGAATGTTCTAGAAGCCACAGAATTCTTCACTTTAAAATGGCTGATTTGGGGCCAGGGTGTAGCTCAGTGGTAGAACCTTTCTGCTTGTCCATCCAGGCCCAAAGTTTAATATCTAGCACCACACACACAAAAAAGTTTAATTTTATAAAACATGACTTCACTTTTCAATAAGTGATTTTAAAGAGAAGACATTAAAATATGAAAGCCTTGATTTGTAGTTTACAAGTAATCTCTCATTAAGAAAGCCAAGTTGTTAAAAATGCCAAGTCATTCTAAACAGGCACTTTTTAAAATCCATGACCTAGGTCAATGTATGTGATGACTGTAATGTTTGACTTTTATTTCATAATCTCTTTTTTATGACTGGTTTGTTTAAAGATTACTAGATAAAGAAAGCATTGGCAGCCATGTTCTTGTTAATAAGTTATTGTCAAAAGTGTGCTAGTGTCGCGAGCACCGATTTGCGTTTCGGGATCACGGGTCAGCGCATCAATGATTGCCAATTCGGTTTCGTTTTGATCAATGCTTTTACTCTCATTAACAATACAAATATAAAACCACACAAAGGATACAACTACAATTGCCAGCGCAATCCAGAAATAATGCCAGCCCATAATATCTCTAACACAATCATAAATGCTATCATGCTATAGGTGAGGGCATACGACCTGGTAGATGTAGTCTGGTCTCAGGCTTCGCAGGGTCGAGCTGCGACTTCGATGTTTCGGCAGTCAGGATCAGGTACAGCGTGTCAGCATCTCGGACAGAGCAGGGATGCAGATCCTCTGTTCCAGGTCTGGAAGCTCCTGCGTCTCGGGCAGAGCTTCAGCAGGTCATCTTGACGGAGTCGTCAAGCGACGTCATCTGTCTGTAGTCTTCTCCTTTTATACTTTAAGTCATTTCTAATCTAATACATCCATATGCTCTATCTAAGTTAACTCCTCAACACTCGCATTACCTTACTTCAAACTCTTAATCTTATGTCACAGCAGTCATGTGTCACGGCACACGGTCGGGGGGGGGAATTCCCCACATGTCACAGCAAACTCTTATCTGTCTTAACACTCAGCATCCAGGCTGTCAGCTTCCAAGCTGTCAGCTATCAAGTCTCACTTAATTTCACTCTAGTTTTACTTTGCTTAATTCTGCTTTTTGTGGGTCACAAAATCCTATGTTTTACATGTTCACTACAGCTAGGTGATGGAATGACTCAGGGTTTTAAGAAGCACTGGATATAAGCATCTAAAAATCAGAAATCTGGCTAGGTAATCATTTAGATAATGTTAGAATGAGATTTAGGGATTTTTAAAACAATTATGTATTTTTGAACTGTCTCCTTTTAAGTGGATTTTGAAAGCCAACTTTATTGAAATATAATTCACATGCAGACAGTTCATTCACATGCTTGCTGTACATCATGATTACATTTATCCTGGGGAGTTGATATATGGACATAATGATAGGGAAAACTTTAATAGTGAAAACTTAGGAAATGTCACAAGATAACTTCTGCCCCTCACTCTGCTTGGTTCAGAATTAGCCTTACTGGATACACCTAGTCTCTCACAAAAGTTTTGTAAGTGAAAAGAACCATTGTTAGCTTTGTTAATCAAACAAGCTCCCTTCCCCCTGGCTAGAGTAGGTAACTGAATAAATCTTAAAGGTCACTTCCCTGACAAAGAACTGCATCTGGGTTGAAATTCAACTGCCTTGCGATCATGTTCTGGGTATCAGCAATGTGAGCTGTGAAAATGCGGTGTAACCAATGAGTAAGATCAAAACTGTAAAACCCTATAAAAGAAGGAGCTGTAACCCAATGGGGGAGTCGATCGGGGCACCGCCATTAGATGTCACAGATCCCCATCCATGGAGTAAACTTTTTTGTTTTACTTCCATTCTGCTGCCTCTCTGTGTGTCACTTGCCAATTCCTTCCATAACAATAACGCATCTTCATCCTTTTTACTCCTCTTTTCCCTCCTATGCCTCCCCTTCCCTCTGACTCTAGATCCTCTTCCCGTTTGCAGAGGACCTATCTTCCTATCCCCTGTTATTTATATTGTATTTTTGAAGTTCATACTATGTACGCTTTGGGTTCTCATGTAAGAGAAAGCGTACGATATTTATGTGGTTCATCTCACTTATCATTATGGTCTCACAGTGCATCCATTTTCTACCAGAAACTCAAACATATCCTTCTTTATGTCTGAGTAGTATTCCATGGTGTACACATACCATATTTTTTATGTATTCATCTGTTGATGGACATATAGGCCACTTCCAAGATTTAGCTGTTAGGAGTTGTGCTACTATGTGCATGTATCACTGTAATATGATGTCTTTAATTCTTTCAGGAGGATACCTGAAGAGGAATAGCTGGGTCAAATGGAATTTTTAGTTGTAGTTTTTGAGGAATCTTCACACTGGTTTTCATAGTTGGACTAGTTTACATCCCCACCAACATCCCAGAAGGATTCCTTTTTTCCCCGTAGTCTAGCCAGCATTTTGTTATTATTTGAATTCTTGATGATGGCCATTCTTTCTGCAGTTGGATGGAATCTCAGAATTGTTTTAATCTGCATTTCTCCAATGGCCAAAGATGTTGAACATTTTTTAAAATGTATTTATTGGCCATTTATATTCCTTCTGAGAAGTATTTATTCATTTTAATTATATTTTTACTAGGTCTTTTATTTTGGAGATGTCTAATTTTCTGAAGTTCTTTACATATTGTAGATATTAGTTCTCTGTTCAAGGAGTACCTGGAAAAAAAAGTTTTCTGATTCTGCAGGTTGTTTTTTCACTCTGTTGGTTGTTACTTTTGCTGTGTAGCTATTTAATCAGATCCGATCTCATTTGCTGATTCTTAATATTATTTCTCATGAACTCGATGTTTTCTGCTCAGGACATCTTTGCCTATGCCTGTGTCTTCAAGAGTTTTGCCTATTTTATCTTCCAGCAGATTGTCTGTTTTTAATTTCTAGGTCGTCGAACTATTTTAATTTTAGTTTAGGACACGGTGAGAGATGGAGGTGTCGACTCGGTCTTCTGCACGTGGATAGTCAGTTTCCCCAGCACCCTTTGAGAAGAGGCTGTCTTTTGTCCAGCCTGTGTTTTGAGACCTTTGTCCAAGACCAGATGGCTGGATGTGGAGCCTCAGGTCCTCAGGGTGTGGGGAGCCCAGAGTGTAGGCGCCTGCTGGGGTTGGTGGGCG